TTCTGTTGGACCATGGGAAAACAAGACACCAGGAGGAATGTGAAAGAGGCTTCCTTTTTCTTAGGAGGAAGCCATTTTCCTTCTCATATAGGGCTGTATTCAAACATCGTGTGGAACTGTACAAATATTTATACCAAAAAATATAGATAAAAGGTGGGGATGTGCGAGCAACAAAAGCAAATGCTGTTCCTGCACCTGTCAGTTATTTCCAAGAAGCTGAATCTGTGGGATTGATTCTCAGTGGAGGGCTTAGACCATACAAATCGTTATTGGGTCCGTGTGTTCTCATTTCCTTCACTGTTACTTATTTTTGTTGAATTTTTGTTCTGTTTGACTCTCTACAGCACACTTAATGCAACTTTTAAAATCTGCAGGTTTTTGATGTCTTGTGGAAATTTGCAGAGGGGTGGGTGTGTGTAGATGGGTAACACATGGGAACTAAGGATAAACAGCTTACAGAGTTTAAACTTCTTTTCCTATCCCCACCACCTCTCAAGAACCTGCAAGTATAATCATCATCTTGTCCCTTTTCTCATGTTCAGCACTTTAATTTTTTGCCTTACTTTCATGTGCAATGAGAATTACTTAGAGAATTGGTAAAGCATACTTTGCCTGGACATTTGCCACCTAAAAAAAGATCAGTGTGGTGCTGCGTTCCGGCCAGTAAATTCCATATTTTTGGCTATCTCTCATCAAAACTGAGCAGTTTCTGTGTATATATAGAAGGTAGAAATGGAAAAGTGAGAAAATATTTGAAAGGGATTATATTAATTGCTAAATATTTTATTCACAAAGGTCAATAACATGGCAAGATAAAATTATTTGTATAGTTTTGTCTGAATGAAGCGAGAAAAATGTGGATGTATTGTTTGTATATATTGTATATATTAAAACAAAGAGATATGTGCATGAAACCAAGAAAAAGAAATGAACAAAAGCAAAGCATTAGTGGCTATGGTCTGTAAAATGAAACAAACAAACAAACAAAAACTTTATTTCACTATAAGAGTACTTTATTTTAAATGTTCTTTAGAAGAACATTTTGCTAAAGCATGACTAAACTGCAAAAAAAAAAAAAAAAGAGCTACTGTATTTAGACTTAGGAAAAAAGGCAGAGTAACATTACTTTAAAAAAAAAAAAAAAAAAGGATATGTTTACATTTAATTTTGGCTACCAGGAGTTTATTTTATTTTATTTAAAATTTTTTTGCCAATGGTGCCAAGTAATGTGAATGCTAATACTGCTTAAGAAAATTAAGTTACTTTTGCAAAACAGATAATCATAAGATGATAAATCAGTATAGAGCTTAATACCATCCACTCACTCCCACAAAGAACACTTAGAATGATCAAAACCTGACGAAAGAAATCGTATGAAAAGTAGAAAAGGGTCTCACGTTTTCATATCTCCTGCTGGAAACCAGAAAATGTAATAAAAATTGCACAAAAGATAAACTAAAAATTAAAAATGATGCAGACTGGTCTTGTAGGGATGTCATGGTATATTACTATTTCCACATAATGAGGAGCCAAAGAATTCTGATGCTTTTAAAAATTAAACTACTAATGTGAAACTGAGAGGGTAAAGTTAGTATTTGCTGATGCCAGTTTAAAATGCCCAGGTGGTTTGAGGGTCAGTTGAGATCATAGTTTTTTCTTGGTTCTGGCTACCAACCGTAAGTTAAAACTCAAGGCTTGTTGTGAAGCCTAAAAATATTCACAAATAAGCTTTTAAACTGATGTCTTCAGAGGGAAGGTAGACAAAAAAAGATTGTGGTAAAAACTGGGGTCAGTGCTCTTGGTGCCTTTTCTATAATTGTACTTGTTTTTTAATTACTTCCTTTCACTGCCAACCTTGAATTACTGTACAGTATACGTCTTACTGCTTGTGATCAGCTTTGACAACAGTGACAGCCCCACAACTAGTAGCCACCTGTACATTTGTAAACTGACCTGACTCAATTTTGTTTTTAAATGTATGGGTTATGTTGCAGCTGTTGAAGTCCCCCCAATACCTATTATTTTACCCAATTTGACCTACAGGAGGACACTGAGTAATTTACAAATACACAATTGCAGTCATAAATGGGAACAGAATGTGAAAGCCAGCTCTTTTGGAATATCCTTTATTAAAACTGAACTTAGATACGTTTATTCCATTTATTATGGTAATACTAACTGATCTTTTGACAAGAGTAATGACCTCAGTGGATTTGCTTTAACCCTCACATTCATTTTTTTTTTTTTTTTTATTAATGTTTCACATGTTACATTATTAGCTGGATAAGTTAGAAGATTCCTGAAGATAGAGACTTACATAGAATTAGGTGGATTCTTATGGAGGGGACAGGAAGTAGGTTCAAAACTTACCTGTGTAACCTACCAGTACAACTGTGACTCCCAGGTGAGGTGAAAATGCACTTCCACTGAAATGAAGCATTTCTGACCGCTTTTTCTTGGTTGTGAATCTTAATTTTGAATATAAGATGATAGGTAAGCACAGCTTTCTTGGATAATCTGAATTCCCAAGTGCCAGGAGTAGGATTTCATTATAAAATTAATAGCTAATCTTATTCTGTCTCCTGAAGATTTAATTGCTATTCTTGTTACCCATTTGAAATCAGCTGTACTGTGTGAACGAAATACAGACAATAACACGAACCCCTCTCTGGCTGCACGGTCGCTTATGGCAGTTCCACACAGTAGTTGGCGCCCAATGGGGGGTCCCTGAGACTTGCATGTAAAACTAGTCTAGATGTCTTTTTTGTAAGTTTTATTTTTGTAATTGTGCATGTAAAGCATCATTGAATCAATGGATCTGTTGAAGAACTCAGCTGCTGGAAACCATGCAAAATGTTTTGAATTGCCCTTAAAATATGGAAAATGTTTTCTGAATGCTTTATATTCTTTCTGCTGTAAATTAAAAATGAAGAAAATTTCCCCATACTATGTGTGTGTTTTGCTTTAACTTTACCCAGTACTGAAGTCCAAAGTGATCAACTATATGAAATAATTTCAAGTATTATATTTCCTTTGGGAGCTCTGGTGGCTTAGTGCCTAAGGCATTTGACTGCTAACCAGAAGGCTGGCAGTTCAAACCCACCAGCCACTCCTCGGAAGAAAGATTGGGCAATCTACTTCTGTAATGATACCGCCTCAGAAACACAAGGAGGGGTCGCTATGCGTGGGATCCTACTTGAGGGCAGGGAGTATATTTCCTTTGGTCCAGTTACAGTGTGTTGACATTGAGTGGTATACAGTGTCACATACATTGTGAGGGAAAAAAAAAAAAGTAGGGCCATTGTTTCTAGGGCACTTGCTTTTCACCAGTCTTCCTAGACACTTCTCAACATAGCATTTGTGCAGAATCAAGAAAAAAAAACAACCCAGTGCCATCCAGTAGATTCTAACTCCTAGTGACCCCCATTGGGTTCCCAAGGCTGTAAATCTTTCCAGAAATAAATCACTTACTCTTCTTCCTGCTGAGCAGCTAGTAGGTTTGAACCACCAACCTGGCTAGCACCCAAATGTCTTACTCTCTATGCCACCAGAGCTCCTTTTGTGTAGAACAGTGAAGTAATTGGAAAGGTGAAGATACCAATCTGAATTCATCCTTTGAGTTAAAATCCTTTGAAGTTTTTTGAAAATCATTTTTCAGCTGACTACTGATACCAGTTCTCCTTTCTGAGCATCTTCCTGTCAACATCACTGTTCTGTTCTTTCGATGCAGAGCCATTTCCTACCCCTAATAGTTTTTCATCCAATCTGTCTCCTATGCTAATGCCAGACCAATTTTTCATCATGAGCCTCTCCACCTGGAGAGTCCGTAATAGTTTTCCAGAGCCCACTGTATTTTAGTAACATTTTTTTTTCTTCCATACCACGATTGAGTCAATCTTATTTCCACCTAGGCCCCAACCTGCACCCTCTGGTTGGTCTGTGCATGACACACTCCTCCACTCTGTTTGTATTGTGTATCCCTTGTCTGCAAAGTTCTTTTAGCTACTTAACGAACTCAAATCCCACGTCCTCTGTGATACTCTTGTTTATTCTAATACACACTACTAGTTCCCTTTCCAAATTAGTCAGATTAGAGATGGAAGAGAAAGTTCAGTATTTATTTTATTTTTAGTCTTTCAACTAACAAACAGATCTAGTTGTTGCATGGTAGTGGATTTTTCTTAAATGAAGGGCAAAGACTGTTGGTAGGAATACTCAGTAGCAATGTAAAATACCTTACAAAGTAAATCATTGCTTTCAGACTTAGGCTTCCTTCTTTTCAACCAAAAGTTTAACGGCCTAAGACACAGAAATCAAGACACCAGTCACTGATGTCAAGGCTCCCATAAATATGATCCATGTAATGCGTCACGTGTGAATACATAAAGGGAACCTAACCCAATCAGTATCACAAATACCCCAAATGGACTTCCTATCTAATCTTTTAAACAACTTTAGTAAAAATGTGGCGTTCCCAAGACCTCTAGGTCAGTCTGGGACGGTAAGCCCAGAAGATTGGTCCGTGGGCCAGGGATCAACTAAAGCGCCCACCATTACCACGACAGTTCCTTAGTGCCTAATGCACCGCTGGGCAGAGCACGTGTACTGACCACGCAGCAGCTGGTCGATCCCATTTCTCTCTCGTCGGCTCTAGCGGCAAGGAAAGAGGGAGCTCCGTTTATCGATCTGAACTCTACAACTCAAGGAATGACGTAGTCAGCTTAGAACCCTGCAGCCAGTGGCAGTTATTTCTGCTAGGGGCCTCGCAGTGGGCGTGGAAGCCAGGCTCTGACCCAGCCCCTCGGCGGCGCCCCGCCTACTTCCGGCGCGCCCTCAGTGGCCGCGCCTGTGCCCCTTCGACCCGCTTGGTGACGTAATCGCTGCCGCGCCATCCGTTCCCCGCCTCATTGCCCGACTGTGGTCCCCGCTGTGCACTGTTGCCGACTCTCTTGCCGCTCTCGCCCACTGCCTCTCCCGTCGCCAAAATGTAAGTGACGCGGATGGGCTTCTGGCCCCAGGAGCGGCGGCCTGCGGCTGGGAGCCTAGCAGAGCTCGGTACCGCTGGCCGCTGCTCGGATGCGGGTCCAGGCCGAGCTCGCGGGGGCTCAGTAGCCTTGGGTGGGCGGAGGCCCCGGGGTGCCGGCTGCGGACTGGCCAAGCCAGTCCCTGTGGCGCCGCCAACCGCCCGGAGAGCCTGGCGGGCGGCAAGACGACGCGGAAGAGGCGAGGGCGGGAGGCCCCGGGATTTCCCGGAGAAAAACAGCTTGTACCTACCCTCGTACGCCACATCACCAACCCCCTTGCACCCTCTCCCGGCCTCACCCCTCGAGTCTTCCCCTCTTTTCTCCTCAAGGTCCCTAAGAGGAGCGGCGACTGTTGCCCTTCTTGAGCACCTATTCTCTGCCAGGCGCTATGCTGAGCACCGGAAATTGCAAGGGAAAGGACTTGGCCTTATGTTGAGGCAACTACAATCTGAGTACAAGAGTAGCTCAGAAGGGCAGAAGTGCCCTTTTTTTAACCAGGAGTAGCTGAACTTAGGTAACTTGGCTATGGTCCTGCTCTCTTTTTAAGCAAAAGCAATATTGTAGTAGCCTTTGAAAACGCTTTTCAGTAGTAACATTCAAATAATCCAAATGGTTAAGAGTCACAGGGACCCTCTATCCCCGCTGCAACTGACTCATTGCTCACCCACGGAGGAAAAAGGAATGAGGACTTTTCCTGGGATTCCCCCTAGGAACTAGGGTACACCACTTTGTAGAATGTTTCTGCTAGGACTGCTGTACGGGTAGATAGATTATCACAGTGGTTAAGATCTCAGACCAAAATACCAAACTCACTGCCATCAAGTGATTCTGACCCATTGCCACCCATATTGGGTTTCCAAGGCTGTAAATCTTTAAGGAAGACTCATGCTTCTTCCCGGGAGCTCCTGGTGGATTGGAACCTGTGAAATTAGACAAGACTTGTTTTATTTTTTTTTAATTTTATTTGGATTTGGGTGAAGATTTACAGAGTAAATTCACTTTTCATACAGCAGTTCACATACACCTTGTCTCATGTCATTGACCAAAATTTACAATGCA